AGCCCGGATGCCCTCGCCCTCCGTGGGACCTGCCCTCCCTGCTCCGTCTCTTGGCCGGGCTACAGGATTCAGATGGCAGGCCTGGCATCCTGTCCGGTTGTGCCCCCGCGCCCAGCCCAGCTTTGGGGCGCAGCTGAGCTGCCTCTGAGCCTTGCCCCCCCCCCCCGCCTCTCCTTGTCTGTCTCTGCCTCACCCCACCCTCGGCCTCCCTCTTGGCCTCTCGGCCTCTCTTTCTCGCCCGTCTGGGTGTCTGTCCCCCTCTACCACCCTCCTCCGTGTCTGCCTCACCACGCCTCCTCCCTCGTTAGTGAGCAGGCTGCTTGAGGCCGCCTGACTGTGGGGGTGACAGGTGGATTGGATTGTCACCCCCTCCCCCAGCGCCTGCTGCTTATTTCATGCCCTGCAGCCCAGCCACGGGGAAGGGGCGGGAGGAGGGATGACAGCTGTCTCCAGCGCCTCCTGCCTTCCCCTCCAGTCCCGCCTGCAGCCGGGATCAGCCCTAGAGGAAGGGATGGAGGGCCTGCCTGATGAGCGGAGAGGGGTGCAAGCCCAGTGCTCTGTGACCGGTGGCTGCTCGCTCAGCCTCTCTGGGCCCCTGCTGCGTTTGATCTGCCCTGGTGGCGCCACTCTTGAATCAGATGCCCTCGGGTTCTTGGGGGCTGCTGGGCCCCGGGGCAGCAGGCCTGAGGGCGGGGGCATGGGGAGGGAGGAGAGAGGAGCTGGAAGGCGTGTCAGGACGCCCCCAGGAAGGGCATCTGGGCCACAGCTGCTGCAGGTCCGGGAGGCTGCCCTGGCCGCCCCCTGCACTCTCCCCACTGGCCCCAGGCCACCCTCACACAGGAACTGAGATAGCATCATTCTGAAACCTGAGAATGGTTTGAATATTGCTCAGGTACCAAGAGGTGTTAAACTGGGGGAGGCCGGGCCTGTTTTTTCTCCCGTGGCCCCTCCAGCTTGAGACCCCCTTTAGGGTACACTTTGCATATTGTTTGCACCTCATTTGCATGTAAATAGAACCACTTCTATTGGGCCTGGATCCCAGCTTGGATAGGCGCCCCCCTGGGGTCCCTGTCAGGTGGTGTCAGATGAGCCTCCCCAGCCCCGCGTCCTCTCTGTTCCCCGTTTGCTGGGGCAGCTCTGCCGCCAACCTTCCCTAAAGAAGGTGGGTCTGTGCCTGCCTCCTGGGCTTGGCCCAGCTGCCATCCCCCTCCCCCTGTGCTCTCTCTGTCCCCACTCCACGCCCCGAGGAGGCCCAGCCTGCCCAGCTCTGTCCTGCCGGCACTGCCTTGAGTGGGAGAAGCAGAAACTGCTAGAGCCTTCCAGGGGCTGCTTTTGGTGACACAGATGCCGCCAGCCCAAGGAGCCGTAGCTGGGTCCTGAGGTCAGGAGGGCCCTGGGGCCAGCAGAGCCGGACAGCCAACCCAGCCAACCCCCCTGTGTCCACAGCAGCTGGCTAAGCCCCCTCCAGCCCTGGGCTCCAGCAGAGACAGCCAAAAGTCAGGGCTGGGAGGGCTTCCTAGAGGAGGAGAAGAGGGCCTGCAGGAATGACTGCAGGGCTCACCCGAGCACAGAGAGGCTCTCTCCCCACTTGGAGGAAGAGAGAACTGGCCCGAAGAAGAGGCGGAGTGGGGGCAGGCCAGGCCAGGGAGCAGAGGTGCCATCAGAAGAACAGATGTTCGGGCCTCTGGCTCCTGGCGGTGGGTTAGGTCATCAGGCAGGGGGCTAATTAGGGAGGCCCAGGTGTTCATTAGGATCTTCCTAATTGAGTGGGAGGGAAGCGGGACAGGACGGGCCTCCTTCACCCTGATGGGGTCAGTGTAGGGTCCTCGGTGCCCACCCAGGTCGCAGCCACCCTCCCTCCAAAGTCACCGGTGAATTCGTGTTCTGGCCCCGGGGCGCTCAGACTCTGGGCCATGTGGAACAGGCAGCACGGGTGGAAGGGGAGGAGGTTATCACAGACTCAGCCTGCTCCATGGGGCGCTCTTGGTCAGATAGGAGGAAGGACTGCCCAGGGCAGGGGCACCTCGTCCTCTGGCATTGCAGGCACAGGGACAGGAGCAGCAGTGGGTGGGGGGCCCAGGAAGTGTGGAGTCAGGGGCTCCCTGGCAGAGAGGGGACGGACTGGGCCTGGTCTTTTTGTCCCTGACTCCGCTCTGGTCAGAGGATGCTTGGGGCGGGGGTCCTCTGTGGCTTCCCTGTCTCCTCAGCCCTGATCCCTCTTGCATCCCAGCTCCCCCAGCATGAAGCGGGGGTGGGGGGGTGGTGTAGGAGATCAGCCAGGGAGCTGGTTGCCAGGCGACAGTTGCCTAAGCAACCCCATCCTCTCCATCTCCATGTGCTCGGGGCCGCTCCGCAGACTTCAGAGTCTCACCCTCTGCACCAGGCAGCCCAAGGATGGGGAGGGCTGAGGCCCGGCCCGGAGAGGTGGGCACGCTCGGAGGGCCGGTGGTGTCCAAACGTACAAGTTCAGGGGCACAGTGAGAGGCTGCAGGTCCTGCAGCGGGACTGACCGGAGTTAGACTGCAAGAAGGCCTTCTCACAGGGTCACGAGGGAGACGGTCCTCGTTTGAGCAGAGCCTTCCTGAGCTCCTCCTTATGGGGAGGTAGAGTGACGAAAAGGGCGGACGTGGCTCCTGCTCTAGCTCGAGCTCCCGGGGAGCCGGACATGGAATGGAAGCGCGGGGATGTAGCCAGTGTGCGGTGGTGGTAAGTGCTAGAAGGGCAGGGACCCTGAGAACCAAGGGAACGAGGTCAGACTGCAGGAATGACTTTGCAGGGCTCACCCGAGCACAGAGAGGCTCTCTCCCCACTTGGAGGAAGAGAGAACTGGCCCGAAGCTGATAAGAGGCCACATCCCAGCAAGAATTTGCTTCTGCACAAAAGGCGGCGAGAGGGAGCTGAGAGACTGGTGGTGGAGGGAAGGTAGATGCTCTGAGCATGGGAGGGTGGCCGTGAAACCCTTTACACGAGGCCAGGCCAGGCTTTCCAAGAAAAAGCCGTCGTTGTGGCCCCCTTGTTCTCCGTGCCCCCTCTCCGCCCTCCCCAGGAGCCCAGAGTCCTGTGGCTCTGAGAAACACAGCTCTGGGGTTGCACTGGGAAGCGGACTGATGGGGGCTGAAATCCTTGGGCTGGGGCCTTCCACGTGGTCTTTGGCAGAGATGGGGCCATAGGCAAGGAGTGGGGCAGCTGCTGGGCCACTCAGGGCTGCGGGGGCTGGGTGGGTGTTGTCCCGCGGGACAGTAGGGGACCCAGGACCCAAGGAGTACCCGGAGAACAAGGGAGAGAGGAAGAGGTTTGGGACCCCTGTCGGGGAGAGGGGGGTGGAGGATCCCTCTGGTTGTGCGGGAGCGCCACGGGGTTGTTTCCTGAGGTCTCCGGACAGAGCAGAAACTCTCTTTCCAGCTGGGCTAGGGAGAGCCTGAGGGCCTGTCCTGGGGACAGGAACTGATGGGAAGGGGTGTTCCTGGCTCCTCCCAAGTCCAGATTCCCTGCCTCCCCTCCCTCTCCCCTGCCCTCCTTGGCCGAGCTGCCAAGATGAGCTCCGCCATCTACTGTGGGACCTTGGGGGCCGTGGTTGGGTGGGGCTGGAAAGGCTCAGGGTAGACTCAGCAGCCCCTGGGAGTGGGGGCTGGGGAGGGGGTCCCAAACGACAGGTGTGCCTGTCCTCTCTGCTCAGGTTGGGGGCAGTGAGAGCCCACCTGCTGGACTGTGCTGTAGGGTCTCTGTGGTTGGGGGTCAGGCTGGACCTCCACGGCCAAGGCTCTTCCTCAGACCCAGAGTGGCTTTGGAAAGCGTGGACCTCCTGCTCGCTACCCCCATGGCCCTTCTCCCAGAAGGCTCCACCTCTGATTGTCCCCGTTCACAGAGCCCAAGGGGCCATGGGCTCATGCTTGCCTCCATCCCACCCCAGGTCCATCCAGTCCCTGAGGGCTCACCCAGCCTGTTTGGGCACCGCCCACACCTGAGCGCGGCACTTCCTGGGTCAGCCTGGGCTTCCCTCGGCACACACTGGTCCGCCCTGGAGTCGCCCAGCTGGCTGCCGAACCTGCGGAAGATGGAGGGGGCGTCTGCATGTTCCTGGAGGCCAGCAGCCTCGGTGCACGCCAGCGGCTCCGTCCTTGATCTGTGCTTCGGGGGGGGGCGAGCCTGGGAAGGGCTGGAGCCCAGACTGGGCTCGGGTCCTAGACACGGCATGGTCCCCAGAGTGGGCGTCTGCAGGCTGTGCCCTCGGGGCCGCAGCTGCCCCCATGCCTGTTGTTGTCCCTGAGCTCTGTGGCCCGTCTGTGTTTACGTGTTGTGCAGACCCAAATGGCCCACAGGGCCCAAAATAGTTGTGGATCGCCGTGGACCCCCGCGCGGAGAAAGCTTGGACTCTGCTGTGGCGGGGCTGTGTGTGTGTGTGTTTATTTTAAGCAGCAGAAGCGGCTCTTGAAGCAGAACTTTGAGGCAGAGGCCTATGGAGGATATGGGGATACGGGCGTAGAGCAGCCCTCGAGGGAGGGGGAGGGGGCTCTGCAGCCCCGGCCCTACCCCCAGGCTCTGGGCTGTTCTGTGTGCTTGACCCCGGGCCGCAGAGTGCACCTGTCCTGGCACCAGGGTTAGCAGTGCGTGGCCCTGGTAGGAGGTACTCTCTGCACTGGGCACTGCAAATGGCAGTGCCCCTCTAGGCCCGAGGGGCAGCTGGCAGACCCAGCTGTCTTTATTCCAGGCGGGTTCTGGGCAGAGGAGAGGGCTGAGGGCGTTTTCCAGGACCCAGACCCTTGGAAGCCAACTGTGTGTGATCTGGAACCTGAGAGCAGCAGCGTTGGTGTGGAAAGAGCCTGGTCTGGGGCCTAGGCCCTGGGTGTAAGCGCCTGCTGCTGCCTCAGGGCACCCCCATGTCCCCATCTCGAGGATGGGGTGGATGCCGCCAGCATCTCCCGGGGTGCGGTGAGCCTGGCCTGCGTGCTGTTGCTAGCCTGGGCTGACTGTCCTCTTGTGACCCTCCCCTCCCCTCCCAGGACGCTGTGCAGAAGCTGTCCTCCAGAACATGAACTGAGCCCTGGTCCCAGGCTGTTCATGAGCACAGTGTGAGGTGCGCCGAGACCCGCCACCCAGCGATCCCCTCCCCTCCCTAGCACTGAGGACCCCCGGAGAAGATGGGGAGGAAAAAGATTCAGATCCAGCGAATCACTGACGAGCGGAACCGACAGGTGAGAAGGGGGTATTGGGGCTGTGTAGAGTGGGGGAGGGCAGGGAGCTGGCCTCTGCCTCCACTCCCTCTTGCTAGTCTAAGAGGGCTTCCTTGAGGAGGGGGCCTCTGGAGGCTATTATGGAAGGGGAAGGACTGAACTGGGAGGAGAGGAACCCCAGCTCCCTGTGGCTCTTGGAACTCTGTATCTTAGAACTCCAAGGCTTACCTGCTGCTATAAGAGGAGCCCTGGGTGTCCCCCCCCCAATACCCCCCCGCCCACCCCACCCAGGGACCATACGCCAGCTTCAGGCCATGCCCAGGCACACCCTGTTCCCCAAGATTAATTCTCCCCGTCTTCCTACACCAGGGGAAGATCTGGGAAGCCCTCCCGTTTTCCTTCCCTGACCCACTCACAACCCCTGGCACGGGGGTGTGGAGCTCTGTCCGTCCAGGTTCTCTTCCTTCCATGAGGCAGCTCTGGGCTGCCCTGTGGCCCTGCGCTGGCTGGAAGGTGCTGGTCTGTCCCCCCACCCCAGCCCCAGGCCAGGGGCTCCGGAGCAGGCTTTTACCGAGCCCCACCCTGCCGGCCCTCCCCGCCGCCCGCAGGTGACGTTCACCAAGCGTAAGTTCGGGCTGATGAAGAAGGCGTACGAGCTGAGCGTGCTGTGTGACTGCGAGATCGCGCTCATCATCTTCAACCACTCCAACAAGCTGTTCCAGTACGCCAGCACCGACATGGACAAGGTCCTGCTCAAGTACACCGAGTACAACGAGCCGCACGAGAGCCGCACCAACGCTGACATCATCGAGGTGGGCCCGCGGGCGCGCGCACGCTCCGGCGCACGCTCCCGCGCCCGGACCGAGGAGGCGCGCGGGCTGCCCGCGCGGGCTGCCCGCCCGGCCCGGTGTGCACCCCGGCTGGCTGCTGCCCGCCCGGCCCGCTGCGTCTCCGCTCATGCTTGTGAGGCTGGCAGGACGTCCCTCTGCTCAGTCTCCCCGCTGGTTCTCTCTTTTTCTCTCCTTGTCCATCGTTGGTCTTTTCCTGCATCTGACTCTGTCTCTGTCGTTCTTCCTCTGTTTCCAGCTCTCCCGCTCTGCCTCTGTCCCTTTGTGGGTCCCTGGGGCTCAATTTTCTGTTTCAAAACAAGCCAGCATTGTAGGCTGTCGGAGGACACAGGCCTTAGAGTCCAGTGGGGGCCTTTCCTGGCCATGTGTCCTCGGGCCGTGGTGCCCACCTCCACGAAACAGGGCCGGGGTGAGCTTGGAAGGGTGTGGTGGGACTTAAACAAGGCAGCCCAGTTCCTGCTTCTCCCACGGGGCGTGCGTGCTTTCAGGGAACAGAACTTCTGCCAGTGAGGCGGGTGCCCGGGAAGCCACAGGCTTGGCCTCCCGCTTGAACTCCAAGATGTGGAGGAAGTTACCTTAGTTCTGTAATAGAGAAAACAGATTACTCTCAACTAGAACGGAAGACGTACATTCGTTATCCACTAACGACAGAACAAGCGTCTGTGAAGGTGTTTAGAGCAGGAAGAGGGAACTCTGGGGTCTGCTCCACACCTACCAGGTGGTCCCCGACGTGGCAAGGGCCCCTGGCCAGGACAGCGTGGGGGGGGTCACACAGCAGGGGCTTCACCTACGCTGGTTTCCTTGGGCCTCTTCCTCTGCGTCTCTCCCCTTCTTCCTGTGAGCAGGGCTGCCTTTCCCCCGTGGGGTACTGGGGGTGGTCAGACGGGCTGGCCCCCTCCCCTGGCAACAGCCCCCAGCCCATCCCCCCAGGGCCCCGCCCCAGCTGTCACCTGGGAAGCAGTCGTCTGTGCCAGGTGCATTGTGGGCCCCCGCCCCCCCACCCCGAGGTGGGCCCTGGGGCCTGAGCCACACGCGGTTGTCCCCTCCCCCCTCGCCCAACCCAGCGCATGTCCCCACAGTGCCACAGGGAGGAGAAGGGGGTGGCCGGGAAATGCTGGGGACCCAGAGGAGGGGGCTGGGGAGAAGGTAGGAGGGCGCCCAGGACCCCGCCCCGCGGACGCCGGCTGACGCGCTGCTGCGGTTGCAGACCCTGAGGAAGAAGGGCTTCAACGGCTGTGACAGCCCCGAGCCCGACGGGGAGGACTCGCTGGAGCAGAGCCCCCTGCTGGAGGACAAGTACCGGCGCGCCAGCGAGGAGCTGGACGGGCTCTTCCGGCGCTACGGGGTGAGCCCCACTCACCGCGTGTCTGTCGGCCCCTTCCGGCCCCCAGGCGCTGCACAAGAAGCACAGGGAGTGTGAGAGCCCCGAGGCGGACGAGGTGTTTGCCCTGACCCCCCAGACGGAGGAGAAGTATAAAAAGATAGACGAGGAGTTTGATAAAATGATGCAGAGTTATAGACTGGCCGTGAGTAGTCGCATGGGGCCGTCTCCCCGTGGTGCATGGTGTGGCTTCGCGCCGGCCCCCGGCCACCCCTGACGCCCGTCCCGCGCCGCGCGGGTCTGGCGGTCACCAGCGAGGCGCCACCCAGCCGCGCTGTGGATGCCCATGGCCCTGGCTGAGTCTCCGTGCGGGCGGAGCGCGGGCCGGGAGCGGCCGCAGGGCGTGTGTAGATGACGTGAGGGCCGTAGGCAGCAGGAGAGTAGGGGCCGGGTGTCTGGGGGGGCCTACGCGGACACCGCTGGCCCGAGCCGCCCGCTGAAGGAACACAGGTGACATGGGTCCTGAGCCTCGGTGCAGGCCGTCCCCAGCTGCGTGGGTGCGTGTGGGTCTGTCCTCAGGCCCTCTAACCTGCTCCCCGTGTGTCCCGCCTGGCTGAGGACTAACCTGCCTCCACTGGGGGCCTTCGGGGGTCCCTGGTCCCGTCCGCCGCGAGCAGGTCTTTCTCTGGGCCAGAGCTCTGTCCCAAAGCACTCCCTCCAGCAAACCGCCTCCAAGAGGGCCAGGCGGGAGAGCTCGAGCCACGGGCCCTCGCACACACAGCCCAGGATCGAGGAGCCCGGGGCCCGCCTGTCCCTGGGCACGGTGGGTCCAGGGTGGGGGTGTCGCCTGGCCTGACCCTGCTTCTCCATCTTCTGTCTAGTCCGCTGTGCCGGCCCCCAACTTCGCCATGCCTGTCACAGTGCCTGTGTCCAGTCAGAGCTCCCTGCAGTTCAGCAATCCCAGCGGCTCTCTGGTCACCCCTTCCCTGGTGACGTCATCCCTCACGGACCCACGGCTCCTGTCCCCCCAGCAGCCAGCGCTGCAGAGAAACAGTGTGTCCCCGGGCCTGCCCCAGCGGCCGGCCAGCGCAGGTGAGGTGGGGAGGAGGCCTGCCAGGCACTCGGGGATTCTGTTACCAGCAGGAGTTTCCCTTTGCCCAGCACGGCCTTCCGTCACTCGCTTGGGTGGCTCCTGAGGGAAGGGACCGGGGCTCCTGCGGCTCTGCATTCCTGGGTCCTGCTGTGGAGGGTGCCATCCCGCCAGCTCACTGTGGCTCTGTTTGTCCCCAGGGGCCATGCTGGGGGGCGACCTCAACAGTGCTAACGGAGCCTGCCCCAGCCCTGTCGGTAAGTGGTCTGCTCGGTGGCCTCGCGGGCCCCAGGGACCTGGAGGGACCCAGAGGAGATGAGAGGAAGGTCCCAGGGCCCGAGTTGAGCCTCAGGGTGGTCTGCAGCCCTGACTGGCATGGGCGGTCACCAGAGACGGAGGCTCAGGGAATCCTGGACAGACTGGAAGAAGAGACCCACGTCTCCAGCTGGGGGAGAGGGATGCGGGGCTTCTCTGGTGAATGGGGCGTCTGGGTGGGATCTGGAGGAAGCCTGTGTATGGCGCTGCTGACGCGTTCCTGCTCGGAACCCCGGCCGCCGATGGCCTCTCCCGTGCCCTGTGCTGCTGGCTGGCTGGTGACGATGACTTCAAATGTCACCGTTGACATCATGCCAACATTCCTGCCGTTCCCGGAGTGATCTGGAAATTGGGATGCAGGCAGCCCCACACTTGGAGGGGAACAGTGTGCTCCCGGGGGACAGAGCAAGGTGACACTCAGGACTGTGGTTGTCCCCACTTCTCTGGGCTTTAGAGCCTGCAGTTTAGCCCCAGGCACCATCCAGTGCATCCTTGGGGGTGACTGGGCACCGGGGTCGGGGCGTGGAGGGCACGGTGGCCATCCTTTCATCTCTGAGGAGGGCAAAGAGGGCCAGAGAAGGGCCTGCAGTCTTCAGGCCAAGGTGGGTCTTCCCCGTGCCCAGGCCCAGCATGTGGAAGGCTGGTGGGGGCCTGGCATGGCGTCCAGCCCGCCACGTTGTCCTGGACGAGTCCGTGTGCCTCTGCCCACCAGGCCTCGAGTTCACCATCCTGGGCTTGAGGCTCACCCCCCTCCTGTCTGCCTCGTGAGGTTCAGCGTGAGGGTTCAGTGAGCTCAGATGAACGAGGGGGCTTGTGTAGATGGTGGCGCAAACGCACGAGGTCCTTATGACACTGGTGGTCACCAGTTGTGGTGGTGGGTGTGTCATCGGTCCTCTGTGACCAGCAACAGCACCACCACCGGCTGATGGCTCATCTCCCCCAGGGCCATGGGCATCCTGTCACGTGTACCCCGTCTCTGGCCAAAGCTGCAGTCTCAGTGGTCGGGGTGCCTCGGGAGTCCTTGCAGAGGCCCACGTCCCAGGCTGACCTCCCCATCTGCAGCCGGGCCCCTGTGAGAAGTCGGGGCAGGTCATGGGGTCGGAAGGTGTTGGACGCCCTGCCCTGTCTGTGTCACCAGAAGGGAGGTGGGGAGGCAAGGCCACGCGGCTTCCGGCTCTGGTGCTTCTGCCCCCGTGTTCTGGCACTCGTCGCCTAGAGCCAGGGGAATAATCCGGTAATTCCGGAGTGAGGGGGCTTCTCCCCTTCTCCCAGGACGGGTTTTCAGGGAGGATCAGAGAGCTCAGCAGCCGCCCCCCCCCGAGCCTGAGTGTGGAGTCCTGGCACAGGGGCAGAGGGCTGGGTCCGCATCTGTCCTCTGACACCCTTTCTTTCTCTCAGGGAATGGCTATGTCAGTGCTCGGGCTTCACCCGGGCTCCTCCCCGTGGCCAATGGCAGCACTCTGAACAAGGGCATCCCTGCCAAGTCTCCACCTCCGCCCACCCACGGCGCCCAGCTTGGAGCCCCCAGTCGCAAGCCTGACCTGAGGGTCATCACCTCCCAGGGAGGAAAAGGGTTGATGCATCATCTGGTGAGTGGGGGTCTGCACTGAGGGGCAGGGGCAAGGGGGTGGGGAAGAGCCGAGCTCCGGCAGGAGGGATGCAGGCCAGCCAGTCTGTGGGACTGCCCAAGGGAGACCACGAAAGCTGGACTTCTTGTGAGCTCTCACTCTCCAGAGGGCCCTCCGAGAGGTCGGAACGTGGACGTGCCACCCATGAGGGCAGGAGGAAGGGACAGGAGGTGGGAGAAAAGGTTCTGTGCCAGGGAGGGGCAGGGGGGAGGTTTGCCAGTGCAACGGAAAGATGAGGCTTGGATTGTGATGGGTTCCTAACTGGTGGACATCAGGCTATGGCATTTTCTGGAGTCGGTGTGGACACCAAAGAGCCTTGTCCGGGCTGCACAGCTGTCCTGCTCCTGTGCGAGGAGGTGGACAGGCGGCTGCAGGGGCCGGGGTGTGAGGCGAGGGCCAGGGCCGCACACTGAACCGCCCCTTGCTTTCATTTCCGCTCCCAGACTGAGGACCACTTAGATCTGGTAAGTGAGGCCCAGAGACATGTGTGGTGGCTTGGAGCCCTGGGTCAGCCTGTGGCCCTGTGCAGCCCTGGGGAGCGTGCGCCCTGTCCCTCCAGCGGCCGGTGTGCTGTGTGGTGTTTCCTCCATGCTGGGCGGGGTCCAGGGCTGAATGGGGCAGGGGTCGGGGGTCAGATGTGCACGTGTCTGTACCTGTGTGTATGTGCCTGTCTTTATGTGCCGTGTTCAACCACACCTTCCCTTCTCTGCGTGTGTGCATGTGCACGCGTGTGTGCATGGGGTAGGGGCCAGCCCCAAGCCTCAGTGGGCCTGTCTGCTGGGGCCCCAGGATGCCCATCTTGGGGGGACTGCGCCGGACTTGCCCCCTGGCTCCATCCTGCTGAGCATGCTTAGGACCCAGGATGGGGGGCCTCCTTAGCAGGGGAGCCAGCTGGCGACGACAGCGCATTCCCAGAGCAGCAGAGGTCCCGGGCTGAGCCAGATTTACCTGGGGCTGGGGGGTGAGAGTGCGGGGGAGGGGGCTCGCCACAGCCCCTCTGCCTGGCCCTGCTGGTCCCGCATGCAGCCCGCCTCGCATGTGCTCAGGCAATGGCAGCTGCGCACACGCCCTCCCGTGTCCACACTGGCCATCACCTGCCGCGAGGGTGGGGCCTCTCCCTCCCCGGTTCCCTGACGGGGGCCAGGGAGGCTGGAAAAGGCAGCAGGCTTTGGCGGCCAACACGTCGGCAGTTTCGGCCGCGGCATGGGGCTGGAATAAACAAGTGACTCAGCGGCAGATGGGGCTGACAGCCCCGCACACGTGTGTGCACACGCGGGCCCGCGCCACGCCAGGCCCGGCATTCCCGCGCAGAGGCCCGTGCGCTCCGGCAGGGCGTGCGGCGAGACGGGCAGGGAGGGCGGCCCAGTCTGCTTCTCCTCCGCCCGGCCAGGCGCGTCTCCCACCCCAGGTCTCGGCCTCTCTGGGAACACGCCAGCAGCCCTGCCTGTCTGCGGCCCCCTCCAGACCGAGCCTAGGGCTGTTGGGGCCTGGGGCCCCGGCTTGGCCTTGGACTGGAGGGCTGGGGGAAGGCAGCCCACCCTCTCGCCGCCTGCCTGGTGCGACCATCCGCCAACCGGCCCCTTTCCTCCTGCAGAACAATGCCCAGCGCCTCGGGGCCTCCCAGTCCACCCACTCGCTCACCACGCCAGTGGTTTCCGTGGCAACGCCCAGTTTACTCAGCCAGGGCCTCCCCTTCTCCTCCATGCCCACTGCCTACAACACAGGTGAGTGCTTGCGCTCCGCGGCCTCCCCGCCACCGAGCTCCTGGGGCTGGACTGGGACCAGAGGGGGAGCAGGAGAGAGTCGCTGGGGGATGCTCCGGGGGGAGGGGAGCCCCCACCTGACGAAGGTTGCCGGAGTCAGCAAGTAGAAACCGATGTCCACTGAAATTTGAATTTCAAATAAAACATAATTTTTGAGGATAAGTTCATGTCAAAGACGTTCTTCTGCTAAAATGTTAAAAAATTACTCATTGTTTTGTCTGAAATTCAAGTTAATAAGTAGGTATTCCCCATTTTTAATATAGGACCTGATGGAGAAAGGAGTCCCTGCCCTTAGGGAGCCTCCTGTCTGAGGAGGAGCCAAGCCAGAGGTCGGCTGAGCAGGGGGCCCAGGGCTGAGGAGGGGAGGGGAGGGGAGGGGAGGGGGATGGTCTGGGCAGCACAGCCCAGCACAGCAAGGCTCCCTGGAGGAGGAGGAGGTGAGGGAGATGATAAAGGTCAGGCAGGGGTGTGCGGGTGGAGAGCTGCTCGGAGATACAGGGGGGCCTCTGGGTGGAAGAATTCGGACAGGACACCCAGTGCTCAGGCCGTCCTGAGTCCCCCACAGTCCCCTCCAAGGAGCAGTTGGTGGCGCTCTGGGCCGTCCTGGCCTGCACCCCACGCCGGACTTGCTCGTGGGGAAACGAAACGCCTCGGCACCTTGTGTCTGAGGATTTGTCCCCTGCCGAGACCTCAGGCGCTCCACAGGGTCCCAGTCCCGGGACTGGCTTGTGCTGGGGCTGTTTTGTGCTGGATCAGACTAGACCAAAAGGCCCTTAAACTCCCGCCTCCCCAGCCCCTGCTCCAGACAACTGTATAGATGGTCACACAATCCTGCCTCCTCCCCGGGTACAAAGCTAGAACCGCACCATTGCAGACACAGGGAAGCCCCCCGGGGCAGGACAGGAAGCTGGAGCAGCCCCGCCACGGTGAGGGGCCGGACCCCGCCAACTGCGTCCGCATGCAGATGTCCCTGCCCAGGTGTCGTGTGGTCATCCCTCAGCCCTGCGCCCTCAGCCCTGTGCTTGCGGCCTGTGTCTGTATGGGGCCCGTGGGCAGCCACAGATGGCTGTGCCCCCAGGGGCCAGTCTCCTCTTCTAGAAGAGTCGAGGGCGGGCAGGGTGGGCGGCAGAGAGCAGCACAGACCACTGTTTCAGAGCTCCAGTTTTGGGAAACCCTGAAACGCGGCGGTGGTTTCCTGCCATCGTGTCTGGCCCTTGGGAGTCTCCTGAAGCAGGAGGTTAGCTGCCTCTGTGACACTGGGACAGGCCCCCGGCAAGGCCAGACTTCAGACTGTTTGGCAGTGTGGTGTGAAAGCACGTTCCGACCCGGGGCCTGCCCTCGGGGCCCTGCCGGGAGGTGTGGGCCCCCTCGTGCCCTCCCAGAAGCTGGGGCTCTGCGTCTGCAAGCTGCTGCAGCCGCTCAGCGCACCCCCGTTTCCACAGCAGGTGTTTTCAGGTGGCTCTCCGTGCACAAATGGAAACGCACTGCCGTTCAGCTGTCCGGCGTTCCTAGTCCCTGGCCCCGGCTCAAGTTCTGGCTGAGGGCAGGCCGGCTCCGCTGGCGTCCCGGGAAAGGGGCAGGCCTGGCCCCTCGCTGGCCGCAGAGGTCCGCGGGTCGCTTTGGGTCCGGAGCGAGTGGGCTGGCAGGCGGCCTGTCTGCCATGTCCCTCCTCTCCAGGGGGCCCTGGGCCTCCACATAGATGGGGCCCCAGTGTGGTGGCGATGTGCGGGACGGGAGCCTGGCCCCTCACGTCTCCTGGCAGTGGGATGGCAGGCGAGGCAGGAGCTCTTTGAGGATGGGCATCCCTGTCTGTCACATGAGTCCAAGGAGCTCCTTCCTGCCCTCGCTCTGCTTTTGTTAAGGACCAGTGTCTCAGCCCACAGTGTTGTTACGAGACCAGAGGCAGGGTCCGTCTCCGGGCGAGACTTACGGGTTAGCCAGGAGCTCGGGGTCTCGTCTCCACTCAGGGTCCCCCACACCGGACGCTGTGATTGCCTCGCTCGTGAATTAGGAACAGCCCCAGGCCGGTCTTTGGGATCCGTCCTGTGTGCCAGACGCCATGGTGTGCGCCCGCGTGCCTTCCCTCGCCCGTCAGGCCTCGTGCTGTGTGTGTTGGGCGGACAAGTCCGAGTGCATCGCTTGCCCCAGGTTACGGGGCCTCTGGGGGCCTCGCCCTCGCCGTTGTTCTGTTGTGCAGTGGTACCATGGTCCCTGCACAAAGACCAGGGCACAGCCGGGGAGCCCTTGAGTGAGACCGTGGTGGTGGGGGGCCACGTGGGTGTGTCTGTGTGTCCCCACAAAGCCATTGCCCTGGGCTCCTCGGGGCACCTCTGCCAAGCAGCCCAGACAGGCTGCCGTGGGAGCGCCCGGTGCGGCGTCAGCTGCGCAGACGTCAGCTTCTTCCTTAAGACCGAGACAGTCAGGAGCAAGGAGCACCGCCTCACGGGGAACCCGGCCGGGGCCACAGGGGTTAGGGTACCCTCACCACCCCTTTGCTCTGCGGGCCCAGCTGGGGCCCACGCCCATCCACCCGGTGGCTGTGCGGACACGGCGGCTCGAATCCCTGGACCCTTGCGCGCTGACAGTCTCGCAGCGCAGGGACGCGGCCCCGGGGGTGGGGGGTGATGGCAGTTTGCTTCCCTGCGACATGCGCCCGGGGTCCGCACGACACCCGTCTCAGGCACATGGAGACCTGGCTGTGGAAGCGATGATGGTTGGGCGTGTGTCAGACCCTCCTGACTTTCCCTCTTTCAGCTGACGTCTTGAAAGTGACACCTACCCGTGGTGAAAGGGAAGAGAATAGTTAACCTGTTTTGAAAATGCATCTTCCTCCTGCGGAGAAGCAGCACCTGTGCATTCCCTTCTCGGGGTCCCTGAGCTGGGGGGGGCCGCTGAGTCCTTCTGTCCTCTCCCCACCCCACGCAGATTACCAGCTGAGCAGCGCCGAGCTCTCCTCCCTCCCGACCTTCAGCTCGCCCGGGGGGCTGTCACTAGGCAGCGTCACCGCCTGGCCGCAGCCCACGCAGCCTGCGCAGCCGCCCCAGCCGCAGCCGCCCCAGCAGCAGCCGCCGCAGCAGCCGCCCCAGCCGCCCCAGCCGCCCCAGCAGCCCCAGCCGCAGCCCCATCTGGTCCCCGTGTCTCTCAGCAGCCTGATGTGAGTCCCAGGGCGCCCCGGGGTGGGTGGGGGGCTCAGGGAAGGCAGGGTTGGGGCTGGGAAGAGGAGGCTCCTGTCGGGAGCAGGGTGCCCCCCCCGAGGTGCTCTGTCACCAGTGGACGGCACGGGACATGGGGCACGGAGAGGCAGCCCTGGAGCCCCTCCCAAGCCAGCCCAGAGCACCAGGCTGTCTGGGTGACCAGGACGGAAGGAACTAACTGGCTCCTTCTCTTCTTTCCCATCTCCCCTCTGGCGGCTCTCCTGTGCGTCCCTCCCTGCCCCACCTCCTCCCTCTCCCTCCCGCCCCCCCACCCCCTCTGTGTCCCGCCCCTCCTTGCTTCTGTCCTGGTGCCCAGCCCGGGCAGCCCACTGCCCCACGTGGGGGCCGCCCTCACAGTCACCACCCACCCCCACATCAGCATCAAGTCGGAGCCGGTGTCCCCCAGCCGGGAGCGCAGCCCCGCACCGCCCCCTCCGGCCGTGTTCCCGGCCACCCGCCCCGAGCCTGGCGACGGCCTCAGCAGCCCCGCCAGCGGTTCCTACGAGACCGGGGACCGGGACGACGGACGGGGGGACTTCGGGCCCACGCTGGGCCTGCTGCGCCCGGCCCAGGAGCCCGAGGCGGAGGGCCCCGCTGTGAAGAGGATGCGGCTGGACACCTGGGTACTGTAGCGCCGTCCCTCCCGCCGGCCTGCTGCACCCCCGGGGCCGCCCCCGCCCCTGAGCCCCCACCTGGGAGGACTCTGGGCCGCCCCTGCCCTGCCGCAGGCCCCTCCAAGCCAGCCCAGCCCTGCGGGGAGAGGGGAATGGGGGGCGCCTAGCCTGGGGCTGGGGCCCTGACACCCCGCTCTCCGTCTCCTCTCTCCGCAGACATTAAAGTGACGATTCCCACTCCCCTCCTCTCAGCCTCCCTGACGAAGAGCTGACAATCTCACCGCCCACCCCTCCCCGCCCTGGGCTCCTCCCGCTCGACCCCCACTTCCTTTTGTGCTCCGTGTCCTGTTGACGGTTACGTTTGTGTATAATTATTATATTATTATTATTATTATTATATTTTTTTTAATTTGGATTCTCGCTTTGGAGAGGAGGACGGTCCCGTCCCCTCTTTCTGCACCCCCTGCCATTTCACTGGTTGGGGGGGGCTGTTTTTTTGCGGGAAGGGGGGGACACTTTGCACGTTGTACACATATGCTGCAGGAGGGGGTGGGGAGCCCGATAGGCCTCTGGGACAGGACAGGTGCCGAGCCCTGCATGCGGAGCCCTCACACCCCGTCCCCCCAGACAGAGGGAAATAACCAAAAAACCTACCAAACAACAAAACCCCTTACAATAGACTGAAACTCCAAAGTCAGCTTGTTGGGTGGGTTTGTGTTTCAGGGGGGAGGCGAGGCACAGGTTCTGGAAAGGGTCTCTGTGCCTGGGCTCTTCCCGTGGCCACAGGCACCTGGGGCAGAGCACCCCAGCCTGGCCCCCAGCACCCCTGCCCACATACAGCATGCACCCCCGAAGTGTGGGGGTGCTGGCCGAGCTTCTGGGCTGGGAAGGGTGCCTGGGATTCTGAGGCTGGGGGCAGGGTTTGAGGTGGGGACCCCTTGGAAGCACATTTGGAGAGAAAGATGGAGAGCCATGAGGCGGGGCCGAGAGCTGGGGTGAGGGGTGAAACGGGGTCCCCTACCCTCCCTCACGGTTTCTCTGCGATAGTAGTGCAATAGCTCTCCGTCCCTCGCCCCTCGCCGACAGCAGCCCCAGAAAACAAGCCAGAAAGTGCAGGGGGGATGGGGAGGGGGATGCTCCGGTGAGGGGCTCAGCGTGCTGGGGCAGGGGTATGGGGGCTCACTCTTCCTTGCACGGACCCATCCCCGCAGGAGGGACACTGGGCTGGCGTGAGGGTGGGAGGCCACCTCCCTCCTTTGGTCCTGGGCCGTCCCCAGTCCCCTCCCAAATCCTCCCGACCCGGACCCCACCTCCCTGCTCTGGGCGTCCTCCTGGTCGGCTACCTCCTGTCCCACCGCCCCCGGCCGCAGCCCACCTTCCCTCTTGGCTACTGTAATTGTAAATAGCAACCTTTGGAAAACGTTAGCCGTGTAACAGTCCAGGAAACTGGTTTTTTTGTTGTTGTTGTATTGATATGAAATGAGATTCTATTTTTGTCAAAGTATATTGTAATAATAATGACTCAAGCGGCCCGTACTGTACAGATGAGACTCCTCGCTGTTCTTGTTCCCTGAGCCCGCCCCCTCTGCCAGGACCTCAGGCTGGAGCCCAGATCAGACTGGAAGGGGGCAGGCCCCCAGCCTGCCATCTGGAGGGGCCTGGGCCACACGGGCAGGTGGCGTGTGCAGGCCAGCGGGGCGTGTGGCCCAGTCCTTCCCCTGCACGCTGCTCCCTGGGGCGTCATCCCAGTGGGACAGTAGACGACAGACAGGGCCCACCTTTGCGGTCCTGCCTCTGGGACTCAGCCGTTTGCAGTATTCTGACACTTGACGCAGGGAAGGAACCAGAAGCAAGGGTGTGTGTGACCGCACATGTCCCTGAGCATGTGCACGAGGCCATCCGGTGTGTGTGTGTGTGTGTGTTGGTGTGGATATACCCGTGTGTGTCTCTGAGCCCGTCTGGGCCAGTCCACGACCCGTGAGAGGTGAGCTCCAAGGGCATGTCCACATGTACGTGCCTGGTGTCTGTGGAGGGACGGGAGGCCACCATGCTGCGCAACCCTGGCTTCGGGCTCCACGCCTCTCCGGCTGGGTCCCTGCCACCACCCCTGCCCCTGCTCTGTCCACCCTCGGCTTTGACAGGTTGGGACCACCGTTGTGGGGAGCCTGCAGTCGCCCCCTTTGCTTCTCCCTGGGGCCCCGGCTCTCCTGGGCTCCAAGCACAAGTGGCCACCTGGCCCCTGGCCCTTTGCACACATGCAGCTGCCCTTCCTGCTCCTCCCCTGCCCCCACCCCGCTTTCAGGGCCACACTCATGTTCCTCTTCCTTCTGGAAGCTGCTGCTTTGTCTGGGCCATGACCCTCCCTTACTCAGCGTTGAAACCCCAGCTGCTGACTGGGCACACAGCACGTCCCGGCCTTCTCCGCGGGTTCCTGGAGGGAGTTTTGCGAGTCGAGGCGCCTGAAGCAGGGCCTTGAACTATGCTAGGGTACAGTCTTGGCGCGTGCATCCCCAGAGCCTTGCCCGGCGTCTGGCACGTGGTTGGCGCGGTAAATGCTGAACGTGTGAGTGACAGGTGCGCAGTACAGCCTGAGTGAGGCGGTCCCTTCTCAGGCCGGTCCTGCCGGCAGCCCGCCCACCTTTGGAAGCTGGGCTCAGCCACCACTAGACACGGGGGCGGGACGAGAGCCCCTGCGGTTCACGGTGCAATAATCACCAGTTTTGCCCTCTGCCTTGTGATGGCAAACCTGGCTTCTGATTACTATGCGTGTGCGTGTGCGTGTCTTCTCTCTCCCTGGGGGCAGGGTAGGTCTGTGAATGAACATGTGACATTTCTGCAATTCAGTATCCCAAGGTTTCTCTTGGGGGTAGGGGCTCCTGGCTGGCCAGACGCATGGGTCCCTCAAGGGGGGCTTCATTTCTTCCTCTCACAAAGCCAAATTTGCCTCCACCTACTCCTTCCTCCTCTAAGAACTGGGCGTTTGCCAAAGTAATCAGTGACTGGAGTCCTCCCGTGCCCCGCCCCTCCCCAGCCTTCCCACAGCTTTCAGGGACTGGGCAAGAGGGCCCTCCCGTTCCACTGGGACGCACCATCCCCGCCCCCCCCCCGCGACCCCCGCCAGCAGTGCGCTCGCTCGATGCAGCAGACTGACCCCTGACCTTTACCCAGCCCTCCCCACCTCGGACAGGAAGGAATTAATGCACCTTCTCTTGATGATTATTTATTTCTTTGGAGAGACAGAAATGATGTAAAAGTGTATCTAGAAATATCTATAACTATATATTTTTAACTGACTCTTTGGAACCCCCTGGGGTGGGCTGGGGGTGAATTCAGGCTTTCGTGGAGGAGAGGAAACCTGAGCCCGGGGACTCTAGTCCTCTCCTCCACCCTGTCAGCGATGGGGGAAGGCGTGGGATTTGTGTGGGGGCAGGGGGCTGGAATGTTCTAGGGAGAATCTGGATTCTCTTTGTCTTCCCCATTCAAGTCCTAGAAGCGAGAGGGAGGGGAGGCATGGGCGTGCCCCCCAAACCCGACAATCACCCACACTCCTGGGGCTGCTCCTGAGTCCTAGGCAGGGCGAGTCCAAGCGTGTGGCTGTTGATTTGTTTTCAATATTTCTTTCCGTGCTGTATGGTGACGCTTTCTTAGTATTCTACACAATAAGAAGACAAAGTCCTCGGGATTCTTATGAGTTTTGTTTGAAAACTCTTTCACTATATTTGTTGTAAAGAGGTTTACTATTAAAAGAAAAAGAATACACGTTTCTGATACTTGGGCTTGGGTTCTGGTTTCTTTGGTGTGGCCCAAGCGGTCCGCTCAGCCCGGTGGGGGGTGGGGGCTGCTCCCAGGTCTCAGGTGAGTGGTTCTGGCAGAAGCAGAGGCCATCCCGCACCGACCAGGGTTGTCCCAGGGGAAGCCACATGGGGAGGTCCTGGGACACGAGAGGCAGAGGAGCAGTGACCAAGGCCAGGTCAGGAGCAGGGTGACAGCAGGCAGGGCTCCCTCTTCCTTTAAAACGCTTTAACGGGGCCAGGGAACCTCTCCCTGCTCTCTCAGGGTGCCCCTGAGGGCCCCCCAACCTGGTGCCTCACTGCCTGGGGTGTGGCTCGGCCCGGCAGGGTGTGCACGGGTGGAGCTGGTGACGCCCCCGCATCTACAAGGGCAGGGAGTACCCCGGTCACGGGGCTGGTGCTCATGGCATCGTGGGGGTCGGCCAGTCCTGGCGCCACTGCGGATCCCACCTCACTGCTCCCTCCGCTGTGGCAGAGGGGCTGGTGCAGAAGGGCTTCCCATGTCCTCCACATGCGGCCCCGCTCCGGCTGCCTGCCCTGGCCCCTTTGAGATGGCCTCGGGGTCCCCCAGCCTGGCCCTCATGGGGTCCTCCCTCACGCCAATGCACGGGGGCACGTGTCCGAGGAAGCCCGGCTCTGCGGAAGGCAGGAGATTTCTGCTGCTGAGTCCCTCTCGTCATTTTGGGGGACGCCTGGGGCCATGTCATGGCGCCATAGCTGCCCTGGGGAGAGGCCCAGGGGACAGCAGAGGCCTCCCATCCACAGCCTCCCACACAGGCCCAAGCCTCCCCAGACACTGCGGGGGCACCCCGCTCGGGTAGAACAGGCACGCCCGCCCACCCGGGCCGTGTCGTGAGGCCACCTGACGCCACACCTCGTCCCTCCCATCTCCGTTCCTCCGCGGACATCGCTGCCCAGGGTCCTGGGTAGGCGTCACTTCTGTCCCAAACGGACACATTCCTCGGTCTCCGTGTCGGCACGCCAGGTCATGGGCTGGCCGATGGGCTGTGATGGCAAGTCAGGCGCGTCCCGGGCTCAGACTGGTGCTGTCCCTGCTGTGGAGTGGCCGGAGCCATCAGAGGGCCCGGGTCACCGCGCCGCCTCCAGGAGCTGCGCTGTGGACTTGGTTGCAGCAAACGAGCCACAGAAACTCAGCTTCGTGTCTGCAACACAGCCTTTCCTCCCCTGACCGATGCAGTGCCCTCTTGCAGGGGGACAACCTCGAAGCCCCGTCTGCGGCAGTGCCGCCTGTGGGGGCGCCGCCATCTCTGCACGCGACCTAGTCCCGCACCGGGCTGCCCGCTGGTTCTCCCACTTGGCGGTCATGCGGCCGGCCGTGGGCAGTCGGTCTCCCCGCCGTGAGCCTCCCCCTCCCCGGGCTGCCCTCCCCACCGGGGCGCAGCTCTGCTCGTCGTCTCCCATCGCAGTGTCCAAACTCCCCAGCTGGGCTCCGGGGCCTCCAGAGAAGCAACGCCACCTTGGGGTCAGGCTTCGCCGGCGTGTCCCGCACGTATCCCTTGGACCCTAGACCAGCCCGCAGCCCGTCCCGCGTCCTGACAGATTCTCCGTATCCGGCTTCTCCTCTCTTTCCGTCTGAAAGGCAACCAGCACTTACAAG